CTAAAGATAATGTTTATTGATGTTTAATAATGTTTAATTCTTTCTATGGTGTGTGTGTGTGTGTGTGTGTGTGTGTGTGTGTGTGTGTGTGTGTGTGTGTGTGTGTGTGTGTGTGTGTGTGTGTGTGTGTGTGTGTGTGTGTGTGTGTGTGTGTGTGTGTGTGTGTGTACAAAATTTAAAATGTCAATTTGATAAAAAAAATGGGGGAACAAAGTTATTGCATGCAGGTGAGTACATGTAGGTGATCACATCTAGAGCAGTACATCTAGGTGAGTACCCACACAGGAGAAAGTGACTGGGACAACTCCTTCATTGTTACGTGATGGGTCAAACATAGTGTGTTCTCTCTCTCTCTCTCTCTCTCTCTCTCTCTCTCTCTCTCTCTCTCTCTCTCTCTCTCTCTCTCTCTCTCTCTCTCTCTCTCTCTCTCTCTCTCTCTCTCTCTCTCTCTCTCTCTCTCCTTCTACTTCTACTTCTACATGTCTACTTCTACTCTGAAAGACGTAGTTCATTGTACATATTTATGCGTAAATTAGGTTAGGTGTTCAGGTTCTGTTGGCAATTATTTGTAGTTGTAATACGTGGGTGAAGCATTTACAACAACCCGTCCTCAGTCCAAGTCCATTCCATCCAGCGGTCGACCCCAAAGACGTACTCATCAATTTTAACATTCTATTCATTCAAAACATAACTTTTCTCAATATATATATATATTAATATTATTATATATTAGCATATTGTGCATATTTAGGCACTGGTTAGGTGTTTAGGTTCTGTTTGCGATTATTTGCATTTGTAGTACGTGGTTGAAGCATTTACAGCGTTGTGGTTCGAACAAAATCGTCAGTGAAGCACTTGTTCCGGAAGTGTTCGGACGACGTCAGTTGTGAGTCGTGCAGTCCGTCCTCCAAACAAAGATCCAAAAGTGATTCCATGCACCCGCCAAACCCCCTGTTTATGAATGAAAAGCGATTTACACACGACTCACAACTGCTGAATTTCGAACATATCTGGAACAAGTGCTTCACTGACGAATTTTGTTCGAATCACAACGCTATAAATGCTTCACCCACGTACTACAAATACAAATAATCGCCAACAGAACCTAAACACCTAACCTAACCTATCCTATGCCTATATATACACAATATGCTAATATGTTATAATATTAATTTATACTTGAGAAAATTCCTGTTTTGAATGAACAGCAAGTTAAAATTTATGAATGCGTCTGTGGGGTCGACCGCTGGATGTAATGGACTTGAGTCGAGGACGGGTTGGAGTCGTGTAAACCATTTTTCATTCATAAACAAGGCATTTGCGGTTGGATTAATGAACATTTGACCGTTGTTTATAAGGATGGGCTGTTCCCCCTGACAACTTTGGTCTTCAGTCATTCAAGGACTGGCTGTGGGGTCTTTTTTTCATGTATCTTAAACTGATATTTTCCCTCCCGAAGTTTGCACACGGCTGAATAGATAAACTTTGGCTTTGTAATTACCTTTTCAAAACAAGACACAAATTCTCACCATTCAAGTTTTACGCTGCATATATTTATATGCGACTCATAATCGTAATGTTAACGCTTGCATTAAAACGCTTGCATTAAAACGCTTGCATTAAAACTCTTGCATTAAAACTCTTGCATTAAAACTCTTGCATTAAAACTCTTGCATTAAAACTCTTGCATTAAAACGCTTGCATTAAAACTCTTGCATTAAAACTCTTGCATTAAAACGCTTACATTAAAACTCTTGCATTAAAACGCTTGCATTAAAACGCTTACATTAAAACGTTTGCATTAAAACGCTTGCATTAAAACTCTTGCATTAAAACTCTTGCATTAAAACGCTTACATTAAAACGTTTGCATTAAAACGCTTGCATTAAAACTCTTGCATTAAAACGCTTACATTAAAACGTTTGCATCAAAACGCTTGCATTAAAACGTTAAACGTTTGCTCCCACGTTCCTTGTAGATACTTGTAAACATGAAATCAAAAGTGTTGGAATCTGATCAAAGCCGAAGTAAGGGAGGTAAGAAAGGCCTCAGGAACCCTAGAGGATTCAGTTGAATCCCAGGTTCCATTTCTGCTGACCATGTGGTGGTGTAGTGGTGTAAGGTGTGTGCTTGGGAGTACCCAGAGCATAGGTTCGAATCCTTCTCATGGCTCCTACTGATTTTCACATTGATGCGTCACGTTAATGGGTTTTCTTTGTATGTATGGAAGGTGGCTATGTGTATGTGTCTCCAGGAAGGTCTGGAGACACGTACAGTATGTGTCGGTACGTTTGACTGTCTCAAGGTAAATCAGTTAATTGCTTTAGGTAAGTCAGTTTACATCTTCAGGTAAGTCAGAGGATGCAGAGCGACTGTCATTTATTGTTAGGGATCCAAGAACTGGAACTCATTCTCATAAACACATCTAGGTGAGTGCACACACACACACACGGCATATGCCAGGTTGGCCAACATACGAACGGCATTCAGAAACTTGTGTAAAGAATCATTCAGAACTTTGTATACCACATATGTCAGGCCAATCCTGGAGTATGCAGCCCCAGCATGGAGTCCATATCTAGTCAAGGATAAGACTAAACTGGAAAAGGTTCAAAGGTTTGCCACCAGACTAGTACCCGAGCTGAGAGGTATGAGCTACGAGGAGAGACTACGGGAACTAAACCTCACTTCGCTGGAAGACAGAAGAGTTAGGGGAGACATGATCACCACATTCAAGATTCTGAAGGGAATTGATAGGGTAGATAAAGACAGTCTATTTAACACAAGGGGAACACGTACAAGGGGACACAGGTGGAAACTGAGTGCCCAAATGAGCCACAGAGATTTTAGAAAGAACTTTTTTAGTGTCAGAGTGGTGGACAAATGGAATGCATTAGGAAGAGATGTGGTGGAGGCTGACTCCATACACAGTTTCAAGTGTAGATATGATAGAGCCCGATAGGCTCAGGAATCTGTACACCTGTTGATTGACGGTTGAGAGGCGGGACCAAAGAGCCAGAGCTCAACCCCCGCAAACACAACTAGGTGAGTACACACACACACACACACACACACACTTTCACCTGGTCTCGGGACCTAACTCCTCTATCCCAGTCTCAAGGTCTGGATAGCCTATCCTCACCTCACCTTAACCCACACTACCTTAATCCAATTCAACTCTCTTCATCCCAACCTATTCTATGCTGCTATATAGCTTGTACCTTTAATTCAATCTATTCTGTTGCATGCTGCTATATAGATAGCCTATTCCACTCCAGTCTACGAGTTAAGAACACAATCTTCCCTTCCTAAGCCATTCGCCTCTAAACCTCCATTCAGCATGGAGCTCGCAACGTGAAGACTTCGCTTATCTTTATCGCTTAGCATCGACTCCTAAACAGCTGTTTGACTCATAACTGGCTAAAATATGACGCGGGAAATGTGCAAATCTGGTGATAAAAACTTGCATTAGCATATTGTGTAGGTGTTACGTTCCCGTGTTCGTCTGCTCACGTGTTGGCTGATGACTCCTGCTGGTGTTGGGGGCAGGTGTTTACATCCAGGCGTACAAGAACGCGCCCTGGGGTCGACTCCGCTGTTTTTGTCCATGCTGGATTTCAGGAACTATATTATTTCCCGCCAAAAGAATTGTTTACATTATTTCCCGCCAAAAGATTTGTTTACATTATTTCCCGCCAAAAGAATGGTTTATATTATTTCCCACCAAAAAGATGGTTTATATTATTTCCCGCCAAAAAGATGGTTTATATTATTTCCCGCCAAAAGAATGGTTTATATTATTTCCCGCCAAAAGAATTGTTTATATTATTTCCCGCCAAAAGAACTGTTTATATTTCCAGCAAAGGAATGGATTATATTATTCCCTCCAGTAGAAGAAATTTTATTATTTCCCTCTTCCTTCCCCCAAATGAAACAGACAGGAAAGCAGTTCAGAAGAAAACAATTCTTACTTTTCCTCTTCCTCTTCCCTCTTTTCATTTTGTTTTTGTTTGCCGGGATATTCCAGCGTGGGTCCTAAGGCTCTGGGGCTAGATTCACGAAGCAGTTACGCAAGCACTTACGAACGTGTACAACTTTCCTCAATCTTTGACGGCTTTGGTTACATTTATTAAACGGTTTACAAGCAGGAAAACTTGTCAATCAACTGTTGTTATTGTTATAAACAGCCTCCTGGTGCTTCAGATCTCATTAACTGTTTAATAATTGTAAACAAAGCCGCCAAAGATTGAGAAAAGATGAACAGGTTCGTAAGTGCTTGCGTAACTGCTTCGAGAATCTGGCCCCTGGTTGGCCCACTAAGTGTTACTAATTTCAGTCTTACTTTAAGCGATGGATGAGTATTTACAACTCATATATTCACCAATTTAAGATTATGTTCCATGTGTTTATGGATGATGAGGCGATGGATGAGTATTTATAACTCATATATTCACCAATTTAAGACTATGTTCCATGTGTCCAACAACTTCTTTTACGCTGTTGACATTTTTTGAAATCTTACTATTAGTTCGTAACTGCACTATGTTAGATAATGTTCCAGTGAGCTGTAGGGCATTTCTCCACAATGTTGACATTTCCTCTCATCTGCGCTGGACTCTGTGATATGAAAATTGTCTGCATTCCTCCTCTTAGTTGCAAGTTTTGCAACTTCATCTGCACTGTCATTCCCTGGTGTTCCTACATGACTTGGCACCCGAGTTGATAAGTATCTGACGACCTTGACGTTTGAGTGTTTACATTAATGTCACAACATGTGTTGTCAGATGGATGCTGTCCTCAACCCTCTTTATTTATTGTTGTCATTCAATTCATACTTACAGTGACACCACCTCCATGCCATCTGGCTATGACACTTTGGGAGCCGGACGCCCCATGACATCAGGCACCACACGGACATCACGTGCATCAACTCATCACGTACATCAACTCATCACGTGCAGGTGAGTGAAATGAGGCAACCTCTTCACCAACACAAAACATTCATGTATTCATTGTTTATTATTTTATATCCAAAAGGCAATATTACACCCAATAATCGCCACAGGTGTGAAATGACAGGTGTGGCGTTGAGGTGGACCTCCCAGAGCAGGTGTAGGGTGCTAAGTGAACCTTCCAGAGTAGGTATGTGGGGGTTATGTCGCCCTCCCAAAGCAGGTGTGGAGGTTGGGTAACCTCTCAAAGCAGATGAAAAGGATAGGTGAATCTTCCATAGCCCAGGTGGGGATTTAGTTGAACCAGAGCAGGTGTAGCGGTTAGATAAACCTCCCAGAGCAGGTGTAAGGGTTAACTGATCCTCCCAGAGCAGGTGTAAGGGTTAACTGAACCTCCCAGAGCAGGTGTAGGGATTAACTGATCCTCCCAGAGCAGGTGTAAGGGTTAACTGAACCTTCCAGAGCAGGTGTAAGAGTTAACTGAACCTCCCAGAGCAGGTGTACGAGTTAACTGAACCTCCCAGAGCAGGTGTAAGGGTTAACTGAACCTCCCAGAGCAGGTGTAAGAGTTAACTGAACCTCCCAGAACAGGTGTTTGGGGTCAAGCTACCTTCCCAGAAGGGGTGGGGGGTTAGGTGTCAATGATTGCAGTATCGGTGGAGGTTGTATAAGTGAAGATGATGCAAGATATTACAGACAATAAAGTGGCAACGTGAATCAGGGGAAGGGAAAAATATTGAAATAAATTTAAAGATATTACCGGACAGAGAAAGGAGAAAGAGAAGCCACTCACGGGACAGCCAACACTGGAGCCCCCCAGACGAGAGAGGAAGACGATGGGCCTTCCTTCCTCGCCTGGGGATTCCACCTGGGAGAAGTCAGACAATACACGAAGGACTAGGAATTCTACTGGCAGGACTGAAAGGGTCACGCAAGAAGAACCTCTTTACGGCTCTTCGGGAATCTTGCCGAACTCTGCGTTTGAAGACTCGTAGATGGTCGCGGCCTGGTCGCACGGGAAGGCTTCTTCAGGCAGGGTACAAGTGAGGTATTCCTGGCTGAAAATCGTCAGGTTCCCGCACAGGAAGGAGAACTGGTCTACTCTCACCACCGTCAGTCCTTCTTCGTCATATACTGGGTCGCACACGTGGAAGATTCTGCAGCCGCTGGCCACGTCGGCGTAGTAGCCGTAGGCGCGGTTGGCGCAGTCGAAGACTTTGTTCGGTTCCCCGCCCAAGACTTCGATGTAGCCATCCGGGAGCAGGTATGGCGACCTGGCTGTGGTCGCCACCACCAGGCACACTAGAGCTGCGACCACCTTCATGATGCTGGTGTGTATCTGAGGAGGGGAGGAGGCTGCTGTTACTTATCTCTCTCTCTCTCTCTCTCTCTCTCTCTCTCTCTCTCTCTCTCTCTCTCTCTCTCTCTCTCTCTCTCTCTCACTCTCACTCTCACTCTCACTCTCTCACTCTCTCTCTCTCTCTCTCTCTCTCTCTCTCTCTCTCTCTCTCTCTCTCTCTCTCTCTCTCTCTCTCTCTCTCTCTCTCTCTCTCTCTCTCTCTCTCTCTCTCTCTCTCATGGACGTATAATAGAAGGGTGTCAGCTTGTTCGTATAAGGGTTGGGTTGTATGTAGGGAAGATATATATATATATATATATATATATATATATATATATATATATATATATATATATATATATATATATATATATATAATATGTGTGTGTGTGTGATTAAATGCATGTGAAACTTGTTACTTGTCTCAGTGTTTACTAGAGAAGAACATGATACTTAATCCGACGGACCGAAACGTCGGCGGACCTTCAGTCTCAAATGTGTGGGATCGGCGTCAACTATTGATCCATGTTGCTATGACTCCTCGTCTACCTGTAGAACTGGTGAGGATATCATAGTTAACTAGATCAATAGCTACAGGAAAGGAACATATTATAAAATAAGCACTATAAAGCCCAACACGTCCCCAAACCCAAGCGAAGAAATTGCCAGGTATGAGGAGTGTATACATGGTCGGTGATCTCAACTCTTGGTTCACTTTCTAGTTTCCACCTGTCGGGGGATGGGAACCTCTTAGGACTATGGGGGGGGGTAGGCCTGTCCCCAGAATGCAGCCCACAACAGCCGTCTCACTCTCGTGCCTACTAACTGCTAGGTAAACTGTAGCATCACAAGTTTCAGCCCCGCTCCTGTGCCTGGTAAGTCCATCACGGGCTCGCCATAGCCCGTGCTACTTGGAACTTTTAGTTCCCAGTAGCTGAATCTTAAACAGCAACAACAACAACATGTAGTATCATTGGAAAGCAAACGTGCCCAACCGTCTCCGCGGTAATGGAACCCGGGATCGTTAGTTCTTCAACCAGGTCACTAAGCTTCATTGTAAAATTATGATATTTGTATAAGAATATGATGTATTATGACCGGAACAATATATCAAACATTTCTAGTACAAATTTTATCGGAATGCTACAAAAAAATGGCGACTTGTCTGATATTCTAGAAGCTTCTTTTATCTAGCAGTCGCTATAATGTGTCAGCCAGTGAGAGGAGAGAACACGCAGGCCAACGTCAGGACACAGTGTAGGCGTGTACTCCTTCACAAGGGGCCAGATTCACGAAAGCACTTACGCAAACACTTACGAACCTTTACATCTTTTCTCAATCTTTGGCGGCTTTGTTTACAATTATTAAACAGTTAATGAGCTCCGAAGCACCAGGAGGCTGTTTATAACAACAACAACAGTTGATTAGGAAGTTTTCATGCTTGTAAACTGTTTAATAAATGTAACCAAAGCCGTCAAAGATTGAGAAAAGATGTACACGTTCGTAAGTAATTTCGTGAATCTGGCCCCAGGTCACGTTCACAAGTCATAATAGCGAGAGAGGTGAGTGTGTGCGTCTTACCTTCAGGATACCAGAGGGTGCACTGAGGCGCCCAGCGGCACCATTGGCTTATATACGAGGCAAAAGGGTAAGGAAACCGCCTATCAGCTGGACAAGGGCCGGCACCGCCTCCGAAACCTCTGGCTCTTGCTTCCTTTCCAATTAAATCTAATTTCATTGCAAAATCAGCCAGGTAATATATACATCTAAATTCATCGTTTCCATGGATACATTATGATACAAAAATCAATTTGATTTGAGTGGATTTTATACAAGAATTAATTTGGTTAACCGATGCGCTAGTCGAAGCCGCAGACGCAACCGAGGATTGAAATGAAAATTTGAAAGTAAATGGCAGTCGGGAAGCGCAAATGGACAATCGTCAGCCAAGGTGAGTGAGGCGGTTATTCCATTACCTTCTGTCCTGGGGCGGCGTCGTAACTACTTGTGCTTAATTTGACTGTAAGCACGAGCCTTACAAGACGAGGTGGAGGTCAAGTGGCTCCCCAGTAGGTGAGGTGCCTGGCCTAACTTGGCACGATACTTCGTGGAAGAGAAACCTAACCTAACTTGAGACGATACTTCGTGGAAGAGAAACCTAACCTAACTTGAGACGATACGTCATTGGAGACGAACTTGACCCAACTAGGGAGAATACTTTGTTGTAGAGAAACTTGGCCTAACTTTGAAGAATACTTAGTTAGAGAGGAACCTTACCTAAATTGAAAGAATAATTCGTCTGAGAGAAACTTGACATAACTTGGGACACGATATCAAGTAACGTAATAGACGTAAAATCTAGCGTAGGTTAGACATAGCGTAGGTTAGACATATATATATATATATATATATATATATATATATATATATATATATATATATATATATATATATATATATATATATATATGCATGAATTCGGGTTTATGTAAGTATGAACTGCCTCGTATGGACCAATAGGAACTCCCTCGTATGGACCAATAGGAACGCCCTCATATGGACCAATAGGAACTGCTTCGTATGGACCAATAGGAACTCCCTCGTATGGACCAATAGGAACTCCCTCGTATGGACCAATAGGAACTCCCTCGTATGGACCAATAGGAACTCCCTCGTATGGACCAATAGGAACTGCTTCGTATGGACCAATAGGAACTCCCTCGTATGGACCAATAGGAACTCCCTCGTATGGACCAATAGGAACTGCTTCGTATGGACCAATAGGAACTCCCTCGTATGGACCAATAGGAACTCCCTCGTATGGACCAATAGGAACTCCCTCGTATGGACCAATAGGAACTGCCCCGTATGGACCAATAGGAACTCCCTCGTATGGACCAATAGGTTTCTATGTTGTTTTCTTCATTCATATATTGTGTGTTCTATCGTGTCTCTGTAGACAATAACCTACGTAGGCAATATTTACCTCACACCTTGTAGAGAAGGTGACAATGTCCTCTTTTTCCCAGACAAGATCAAGAAGGCTAACAGATATGATCTAAGGATAGGTATCCTTCCAGATAGGATCAGAGTCGTGAGGATAGATATCCTTCCCATCCAGATAGGATCAGAGTCGTGAGGATAGGTATCCTTCCCATCCAGACAGGATCAGAGTCGTGAGGATAGATATCCTTCCCATCCAGACAGGATCAGAGTCGTGAGGATAGATATGCTTCCCATCCAGATAGGATCAGAGTCGTGAGGATAGATATCCTTCCCATCCAGACAGGATCAGAGTCGTGAGGATAGATATCCTTCCCATCCAGACAGGATCAGAGTCGTGAGGATAGATATGCTTCCCATCCAGACAGGATCAGAGTCGTGAGGATAGATATGCTTCCCATCCAGACAGGGTCAGAGTCGTGAGGATAGATATCCTTTCCATCCAGATAGGATCAGAGTCGTGAGGATAGATATCCTTCCCATCCAGACAGGATCAGAGTCGTGAGGATAGATATCCTTCCCATCCAGACAGGATCAGAGTCGTGAGGATAGATACCCTTCCCATCCAGACAGGGTCAGAGTCGTGAGGATAGATATCCTTTCCATCCAGATAGGATCAGAGTCTTAAGATAACGTATCGTCTCCTTTTAGACAAGACACGAGTCCCTATACAAGGTAGCAAGCACAGTAAGGAGTGAGGATAGATATCCTTCCCAACCAGATAGGATCAGAGTCTTAAGATAACGTATCGTCTCCTTTTAGATAAGACACGAGTCCCTATACAAGGTAGCAAGCACAGTAAGGACTGCAGGTCTGAACAAACAACACTGTGTCTACTCATGATTTTCTTGTATTGTCTTAAGACAACTTTCAGAATCCTCCTTGGTGACACGAGCTCTCTCAGCATATATTTATACTCGTTGCTTGTTTGTCTGAGATCTTGCATAGGCGGCACAAGATATATACAAACTCCTGTTAACATTTCTTCTAAATCTCAAAATAACAAAAAATCATGAACAAAATAACAAAAAATCATGAACAAAATAACATGGTAAATAACATTACAAGAACAGTGAGGCCAGCGGATGTCACACCTACACCTTCTTAAACACAATATTTAATAAGTGAGAAAATATTGCAGTCTTACATTGGGATCGAACGGTCAGAAGAAAATGTATATATGTTGGTTAGCATTGTAAATGTGTGGCCACGTCTGTGGTAGAAAATAATAATAATAAAAATAAAAAAATCCACAGGTAAATTAAATTATTATAGAGTATCGGTTTATTAATGCATTATAATCTATCTGTACATAATTTCCTTTCCACACATATAAGTTCAATTTTTCACATGATCAAGTTTTATGTAGTAATATATGTATATGCTATGTATAACACGGTTCGATTTAATAAACATTGTAGTAGGGCGCTGACCGACTCCCTACTGCTGCTGCTGGTGGGGGGGGGGGGAGGGGTAGGCCACAGTCGCTGTTCAAGGTTGAACAACGACCCGTTGAACACCTCTTGGGCTGAACTTCTGTTGGAGAGCTTCAACGGGAGTCATTCACCGAACACATGACCTAAACGTCGTTAAGAATCATCAAGCGTTCTTAGATGCTTTTGGAACCAGTCTTTCCCTCAATGGCATTTGTCTGTTGGTAGTTTTATGGTGAGGAGGCTAAATCAGGTAGTGTTGAGGAGGTGAGTCTGTCTGTGTCACAGTAGTAGCACTTGGAAGGGACACGAGGACAAGGAGCTGGGATCTGAGGACAAGGAGCTGGGATCTGGGGACAAGGAGCTGGGATCTGGGGACAAGGAGCTGGGATCTGGGGACAAGGAGCTGGGATCTGGGGACAAGGAGCTGGGATCTGAGGACAAGGAGCTGGGATCTGGGGACAAGGAGCTGGGATCTGGGGACAAGGAGCTGGGATCTGAGGACAAGGAGCTGGGATCTGGGGACAAGGAGCTGGGATCTGAGGACAAGGAGCTGGGATCTGGGGACAAGGAGCTGGGATCTGGGGACAAGGAGCTGGGATCTGAGGACAAGGAGCTGGGATCTGGGGACAAGGAGCTGGGATCTGAGGACAAGGAGCTGGGATCTGGGGACAAGGAGCTGGGATCTGAGGACAAGGAGCTGGGATCTGGGGACAAGGAGCTGGGATCTGGGGACAAGGAGCTGGGATCTGAGGACAAGGAGCTGGGATCTGAGGACAAGGAGCTGGGATCTGAGGACAAGGAGCTGGGATCTGAGGACAAGGAGCTGGGATCTGAGGACAAGGAGCTGGGATCTGAGGACAAGGAGCTGGGATCTGGGGACAAGGTGAAGGTGCCCTTCGCTTCCATTACCGGAGATCGAACCCCGACCCTGAAATATACAAGGGGCGGCGATCAACCGACTAGTCCAGACGGATGGGTTAAAAGACCCCAAATGAACAGTCCAGCAAATGCTAAGCTTATACAGGTCAAGCTGGTCATACTGACTTGACCCAAATATGAAGTAAGAGATGGACATTGTATATGATTTGTGCGCACACGCGCGCGCGCACACACACACAGACACACACAGAGACACACACAGACACACACACACACACACACACACACACACACACACACACACACACACACACACACACACACACACACACACACACACACACACACACACACACACACACACACACACACACACACACACACACTAATGCAAACACTCTTAGGGCCAAAGAGTCTATGTATATATATATATATATATATATATATATATATATATATATATATATATATATATATATATATATATATATATATATTCCTTCTCTCTCTTAACAACAAGACCCGCCATCTTCTCCTGTCCTTCCTTTCACTTTATCCCTCCACCTCCAAGTGTCTCATTATTACTTTTATTAACCAGTGATAGACGACCATTTGTGTGTCTGAAGACTCACCATCTTGTTATTATCTTGACCCCACGAGCCCCGGTGGTGGTGGTGGACTCACCTAGTTGTGCTTGCGGGGGTTGAGCACTAGCTCTTTTATTCCCGTCTCTCAACTGTCAATCAACTGGTGTACAGATTCCTGAGTCTACTGGGCTCTATCGTATCTACATTTGAAACTGTGTATGGAGTCAGCCTCCACCACATCACTGCCTAGTGCATTCTATTTTCTAACTTCTCTGACAGTGAAAAAGTTCTGTCTAACGTCCCTGTGGCTCATTTGGGTACTCAGTTTGCACCTGTGTCCCCTTGTTCGCGTACCACCCGTGTTAAACTGTTTATCCTTGTCTACCCTGTCAATTCCTCTGAGAATTTTGTAGGTAGTAATCATGTCTCCCCTTACTCTTCTGTCTTCCAGCGACGTGAATAGTGTGTGGATTGGTGATTGTGGTAATGGGATCGGATGGTGTTGATAGTGTGGGATAGCGATGGTGGTAGAGAATGTGGTAATGGGCTGGAATGATGGTGGTGGTAGGGGTTGGTAATAATTGTGGTAGTGTGATCTGTGTGATTGTAGTAGAGATTAGTGTTAGTGGGATCTGGTGGTGGTGGTGGTGATAGTAGTGGTCTGATGGTGGTAGTGGGGGATGGTGATGGCAGGAT